CCGTAACTAGGTACGTGGTAGGAGATCACCATAAAAATGAGAATTGAAACTTCCTGTTTTTGTACCTGTATTTGAAACTAACGTTACTGCAGTTTCATCCTATATTTCCAAACGAATACGATGAAGTTTATTGTATTCGCTTAAAAATGCCCTCGTAGGACGTTAGTTATAAATACAAGTGGTATAAAACACAGGTATAAACACAGGAAGTTTCAATTCTCATTTTTCATGTAAAAAATTGCTTTCAAACAAAAATGAATCTTTCATGTTTACTTTATTCAAAAAGTTGAATATTTTATTAAACAATTGTTACCTTCAAGAGTTTAAGGAATTTATACTCTTGAAAAACAAAAAATTAAACAGTTTTTCTTAGTAAATTTCGGTAGTTCTTCCATTCTTATATGAACTCCTGTTATTCTTCAATTTTTCAAATTGACAAAAGTTGACAGTTCCTGAAAACTGAGAAAACTTCAATGAAAATTTTTGTTTCAATAATTGAAAACATTTGTTTCACACATTCATTTTTTTTCACGTTCCATTGAAAAATTACGAAAATAGAAAAACAAATTTCATTATACGTCTACCTGAAGAATTTTTTCAAAAACAGAATAAGGAATCAACATTATATATTGGGCATATCCCGCCCAACATTAATATGTCGCTGCTTCTAAAAAATTATTCAAATAATGTTTTCAATTATTTTTATCATTTTGTGATGCACTGTTTGAAATATTTTGTGTACTAATGAATATTACTGGAGTTCTATCCCAATACCAAACCGTTATTTTTAACGTCTCGACACGTGTTTCAATCATTAAGTGATCACACGTTAAAAGGTAAGACCTTGTTAGTCCTTAGCTCGCACAAGTTTCTCAACTACTGAGAGTTGTCGTTCGTATGGGGCGACAGCTGATTAACGGAAAAACAGATTTCTTTTTCTTCAAGCGGAAAATTAAACTTCCTCTTGAAGATGATCACTTGGTGACTGAAACACATGTCGAGGTATCAAAAATAACGGTTTGGTGTTGAGATGAAACTGCAGTGATTTTCATTATCATCACTGTTTCTTCATAATTTTGCATCATCTACCGACATACCTTGAGAAAGCCAAAGATGCAATATTTCACTCACCCTGTAAAACTATTCGTCACATTGTACTCTAGATCTTTCGAAAAACCATAAAAATCTATAAAATATCACATGGTTACTTATTTACAGACATTAATACATGTAAAACAGTTTCATTTACTTAAACTAGTGGTCTAAAAATGACTCAATACATATATAACATATGGCACTCCAATTAGCACGTTGAATGTATATTTTTCACAATTAATATCTAAGTAGTAAGTGCACAATATTTCAGACACCCAAACACATTGGCAGTATAGAAAAACAATTATTTCTTTCAACGTTTTTCGAATATCCCAGAAGATGAAACACAAAAACATTTCACATTTCAAAAGTCACCTGAAGTTATATTTACTTCAAAATCCACTATAATCAAGCAGTTAGTGTCCAGTTTTTCTTTATTCTTCAAGCAATCTCAGTAAACTTTTTTTTTCTCCTTACTTTTGATTCTGAAAATGACACACACTACCTATATGTAAAATCATTACAGAGACTCAATAAAGGTTGAGTGGAAGAGAAGTTTTTTAGAGACCCGTCTCTACAAAAAATTATATTCAGATCAAAATAATATAAAAGTGTCTGATAAGTGGAAATAATGAAGATGCTGATTATTATGAGTGATGGCCAATTAACAAATCCAAACACGTGTTGCGTTTTTGTAAGACTTTCTACTGAAAATCTTACAATGAAGTGTTTTTTGAATGCAACCACTATTGTTTGAATCACACCAAATAGATACAATACATTTTTACATATCTGTACCTATATACCATCAATTTAGTTTTCGCTAAAACCAAATAGGGACTGTTTAGAACTTTCAATTCGCACATGCGCACTGATAAAATTTTTCATTTGTTTTGTGTATAGATGTACAATCTCTTTTGTTTACATAATCACATTCTCAATTCTTATTTCATCCATAATTTCAATAATCATAATCACAGTTACAAACTGAATAACTAAAAAAAAAATTAATGACATCTCCCCAACTACGGTATCATGGGTTTTTTGTTTTGTTTCCTTTTTTTCGGGAACTACAACTGTTCTGTGACTTTTGTGTTCTGCGTTTTGATTCTGCATCAATTCGAAACAGTTCTCTAATATTTCGAAATATAGAACCAAAACAAACCTATAAATATTCTCTAGTATCGAGAATTGGCCAGATATGCAGGCTAGATGACATCACTCAAAGACGATCGTGGATACCAACAATCAAAACATCGTGAAGTAACTTGGCTTAAAATCTTGAATTGTTCAATTTTCAATTTCTTGCTTAATTTTCAATTCATTGTAATTTCATTTCAGGGTTTTTTGCTTAATATAATTGTTATTTTCAGCTATTCATTTTAAATATCAATTTCATTTGTTATTCACCATGAAACATTGTCAACAACCTTCAAACAAACCTAGAAATGCAATTCCTGTAACACAATTATACATTTAAAAATATTTTTATCGATCATGTCTATGATGTCTGCATATTCTGCACCCTCGTCACCACAATACAATCTTACTTTTGGATAACTGCTCCATGTCAAACATCATTTAAACCAGTTTCTGAAATTTTACTAATTATCCACAACATCTTCTTATGCGGATATAAGCTGCAACTGTCACATGAAAATACTAGTTCTGCATCATCATCAGTTTCCAAACATGTCCACCATTTATCTAAACCCTATCAATTCTATAAGTGATAAAAATGGCAATCCCCTCTTCATCTGCCCAATAATGCAGAATAATATCAAAAAATATTAAAACATGACGCATGAACGATGTAATACACATTTTAAAAAAACCACCACCAAATGAAATTAATTGTTCGTGAGAATTATAATTGTTTATTTTATTCTACAGAGTTCTATTTGAGGACTGTGTTATATAACTATATTGTGTTTCCGAAAAAGTTTCGAAAGATATTTTGAAGAATTAAATGAATGAAAAATCTATTAATGTCAGTTATTGAGATTTTTGACAAAAAAATTGGTGGGTACTTCCAGAACATACGAGTAGTAGGAACCAGTTTTGACTGTTCTTAATTTTTGAATCCGATATGAAACCTATGATACAACAAAAATTGAATATCGTTAAATACTCATTCACATTGAGCGATGTATTTATTATTCCTACATTCATTTATCACATAATCATACTTTGTGATCTGTATTATATAGGATTATAATCCCTGAGACATCAATCATAACGCGAAAGATGAATATTGATATGCTATAGATAGACAAGAAATAATCAGTTCATTGAAATGTGTATCAACATAAGTTTAATGAAGAATAGTAGGTCTACATAGTCGAATTTATGAAAGCAGTATTGCTCAAAAGTCATTTTTTCTGAATATAAATTAGGCTAAAAAGGGTGAGTACTGAATCTACCATGGAAAGAGTCTACCAATAAAAGAGAAACTGGGTCAAAATAAATTTTTTTGTCGTCTCTCACAAAAGCCTACTTTCTAGAATCGAAACTTGGGCGAGCTAAGGATTGAAGAGGTTTAACCTTTAAACATGCGATTTCTAGCACGGGTAAAAAAATACGCAGTGATCGAATTGGGATCGAACCAACTTGGGCAGTTTCATGAGTTGGGCCTATTAACCAAGAAACAATACATATACGAGTGACATGTTTGATTTAGATATAGGTATTAGTCTTTGTTGTCATTAGCTGTCAACTTGATATGAAAAAGCTACTGATCTGACGGGATTCCCTCAGAATGTATTCCAGGAACCCCAAGAACGGTAGTTTTCCAGAAAAAATATATCAATTCCAAAGTATATCCATTCACTTGAGTTAGAAAATACGAGCTTCCAGCTCAGACGTTAAAATAGTCAAATACTTCATACCTCATAATTCAAGAAACTCTCTTAATCAAAAGTCAACAGAAACAGCTCACATTCTGATTTTTTCAAATTATTCATGTTGTTTCAATAATATATACAATATTTATATTCAACAAATCAATTTCTTGTGACTCTTTATTCAAAAAAAAAATATTCGGATAGTAATTGATATAACAACCGTACATTATATATTTATTTAATAACTATGGTGCCAACCTTAAAGTTGTTTTTGATGGATTTAATAATATGAAACTGAAGCTTTAGAGAAATCGTAGATATATAAATTACACTCCAATCGATCGTTTATTTGATGAAAATATACTACTAAATGCAGGTTATGAAAAATGTTTAGGAAAGAGCAAAAATGCATATGGCTGTATAATTTTCCTCTACAAAAAACTATTCAAAAGTAATATTGATTGGAGGCAATCAGCAAGTGACGGCAGCTGTTTTTTGTAATAAAAATAAAGATGTTTTTTATAATTTACGTGCAGCAGCTAAAACTTTCATGGTTGAAGAAATATGTGAGGACATATTTTCAACGAAAGTAATAATTTTTCACATATAATCAGTGGGCATACTTTAAGACTGGCTATAAATCTGAAAGAGCAATTCGTTCAGGCCAGTCTCAACTCCCTACACTGTGGGTTAATGGACTCACACCTTTCAGAAAACAACTACTCCCCTGGCTGATACCACGAAGGGTGTTGGATTATATCCGACAGGTGTCAGTGCCTAGTTCGAGGAATTATACTCTGAAGGAATTTGATTTTCAATTATCGAAAATCATCGACTTTATGTTGATGATAGACACTACCTTGCACTGACGAGTGGCCAAACAGCCCGAAATCGGTCTGCAAGTGTGTTCCAACAATTGAAAATCGAAAACGACAGTTGTATCGCCAACAGCGTATGCAGGAGTAACTTCAGTGAAGAATCCTGCACTGACACCTGTCGGGTATAATCCAACGCCCTTCGTGGTATTAGCCAGGGGAGTAGTTGTTTTCTGATGGATGTCATTCTATTGCCCTACAGTGTAGGAAGTTGATACTGGCTTGAACGAATTGTTCCTTTGGATGATTTGAAAGTAATAATTGCTTTGCTCACAATGTACTATACACAACTGCCAAAAACTTGAACTGTAATACAAACATTTCATAACATTACTTTCAAAGAGCATGATCGAAAAATGTTTTCAGAAATATACTGAATTGACAATTTGATCTTGAATGATGAAATCAGGATTCTGGTACTCGACAGGGATCGAAGTGAATTATTGGTAGACCATTTGCTAGCCTAGGCGTATTTTTTTCACGTGCAAAAAGAGAGCAGGTATTCACAAAAATTAACTTAAATTCATGTTGAGTACCTTTCTACTGGTTTTATCATTCAGGTTTGAATTTGTCATTTTATATGTATCTGAAAACACTATAGGTACAACTCAGTTCGTGCAGCAGGATGCAGCAAAATGAAACATTGAAAGAGTTCAGTTGCAAATTCAAAAATATTAAAATAAAGTTCTCGTACCTCATGAATAATGGGGTAAACATATAGATAACGACTTTAAACAAATCATTTGTGCAACCTGCAGCTGTTTCCGAAACCTATTACTATCAAAGTATAACTTGAATACCTAGGATATCTTTCAGATGCTTCAGTTCCATCCTTATTATATCTATAAAGAAACAGCTTTAAATTTAATGCTATAGTTATCACGTAAAAACCCAATATTCTGATGTTTTAATTGATATATGAAGAATCATGAAAAAGCTGCATGTATTTTATGAATGTCATGCATATTGTTCAAACAATATTAATAATTCTGTCCTGCTTCAAATGTTTCTGATTTGAAATAATATAGAACTTTATATATTTGCAATATCAGAACCTCGGTTCAACTAGTATTGTGCTACATAGATGATATCGTAGACGTAAATCCAACTTTAAAATTGTCAACATGTGAACGAATGAACTAGTTCATCATCATAACAAAACATTTTCGAACGCCTTTTGTTATAATTGTAAAGATTTTTCTTGATATGTAGAAAAGTGAGTTAGTTCTAACTCGTAGAGGTAGCTCATGTGTTTCGTTTGAGAAATGTAACGGGAATACGTGATATTATGGTAACCTCTTTAGAGATAAGTGGCTCCGTAGAAAAGAACATGTAAATAATTGCATGGTGGATTATATTCTGAATAAATATCGAGTTTTTGGAAATGAAGTGAAAAAAATTGGAAAAGGAATTGGAAGGAAACCGGAAAGAACAAAAAACCAAAAAACATATCCGATATACTGTCACTGTTGAAGAATGAGAAAACGTACAGTAAAAATAACAACTCTAGCTGTCAAACCAAACAAGTTCCATTGTCTTCTCTCAACTCATACTTGTACATTTCAAAAATATTTTGAGGATCTTGCTATTTGTAATTGTGAATTCTAATTCTGAATGTCAAACCAATTTGTTTTAATTTTAGGAATTTTATAGTTTTCAATTAAACAAATAGACTCTAAGAATATTGTGAAGAAGTAACGTCATTTGTGAGACGGAAAACCTTCAATAATAATAAAAAAATATGGTGATGTTCAACTTTTCATCTCACAGTTTTTCGAAAAGTTTTTCAGAAAATTTTAAAGTTTTCATGAACACTTTGCAGCTTATATCCACTTAAAAAATTGAGTCACATCTCTCCAATCATTTGATAACGACAGTATTGAAATCATCACCTAGTTGCTGGAGCGGCGAAATTATATATGGCTTCATATACCTTATCTTGCACTTTTTGCATTTTTTCCTTCATCTTCGCTGTATATGGGTCAAAATTCAATGCTCGTTTCTTTCGTCTATATATTCCTTCTTTCCGCTTCATGGCACATTTCAACAGTTCTTCATCTACTGGTAGGTCGATGAATTCCATTACAGTCCTTAGAGTGTGTTCAACTTTATCAACCAGTTGTTCATAAAATATCACATGAGTAGGCCCCGTGAAATTGTAGAGCCAATCTAGGTTCATTTGTTGCCAGCCTCGTAGTTTGTCGTTCACGAATTGGTGCCAATCTGAACATCAAAAACTATTAATGAGAAAACACATCAACAATTGTTATTAACAATGCAATCATACATCGATTACTTTGATTTCTCTACATTTTTAGCCTGGGATATGTTGACCAATATGATACGTGAATATTACCAACACCAAACCGTTATTTTCAACACCTCGACACGTGTTTCAATCACCAAGTGATCATCTTCAAGAGTAGTTTAAACTTCAGAGTTCAAGTTAGAGTTAAACAGTTCAATCTCGTTCTTGAAGATGATCACTTGGTGATTGAAACACGTGTCGAGGTGTTAAAATTAACGGTTTGGTGTTGGGATAAAGCTCCAGTAATATTCATTACTACACCAAAGGTTCCAAACAGTGCATTGATAGAATTTAACTTTCACTCAAAATCATTTACATTTGTATTTGCAGTTTGTATAAATTTGTAATTTTTCCAGCACATATCGGCAGTGGCATGGTTAAGTTGTTAGAAACGCAAGTTTCCAAATGCACATAATGGAAGTTCCACGTCAACAAATGTAACATACACTGTCTCCCTCAAAATATGCATCATATGGGAAACTAATTCAATGAGGGTTTTTCCATGTTCATTGTAGAACACTTCAATGAAATGAAAACACTTTTGTCTGATTACCACTAGTTGATTTTATTTATACGACCGGTTTCGGGTTTAACCCCATTATCAAGTGTAAAACTGAAATGTGAAATTTTAAATCTTGGTTATAACGGGAGTTTTTAGGTAAGATGGAAAAACAGTTAGTTGAACGAACCAAGGTGCCCACTTTAAAATTAGACACTGAAGATTATAGGGGTTGTTAAACTTATAAATTCAAGAGTTCAACGGCAATTTGTTGCCGTAGAACTTCCATTTTGTGCATTTGGAAACTTTCGTTTCTAACAACTTAACCATGCTACTGCCGATATGTGCTGAAAAAATTATAAATTTATACAAACTTCTATATACAGGGCTATTCAAATTCATTTCTGTACATGGGGATCTCGTAAACGATAAGAGATAGAGTGTCGGTTAAATTATGGCAAAGTTTCGTATTTTAGAGGCCTATGCAATGATGTAAAGAAATCGAGTATAGCTCTTTTGGTTCTGGAGATATACAGGAAAAACAAAAAAATCCCAAATTATTTTTTTTGCCTATATCTTCTTTATTCGCAGACATATTGAAAATCTGTCCACATTTTCTTATTGGCACTTGATGTGGGCTCTCAGAATATATTCATGAATCTTTTATACAGGGTGTCATCTGACTTGGGCCACCCCCATCTTTGAATTTTTAAATACGGACCTGTATTTTTTGTAGTTTTTGGATCGTAGACGTTCACTTCATACTGAGAAATTAAATTCAATTTTATATTTCGGGATGTTTCGGTAATATTCGATTATAATTGTGTGAATTATTCCCTTTTAAATTACGGCCCTGGAAATTGGTTGACTGAGTTGAATAAAAACACAATAGCAACTTTCACGTCTCCCTATGTACCGTAGAGTTTTCCGAAAGTTTTTTATTTCATTTTTAGGAATTATTTTAGGAATAAGAAAACCTTTTATGATGATCTGGAACACATCTACAACAAAAATATATTATATGTGTTTTGATGAGCAGAAAAAAATGGTAGCAATAATAATATCCGAAACGGGCCATAATTTAAAAGGGAATAATTCACACAATGTATAAATGTAAATGATTTTGAGTGAAAGTTAAATTCTATCAAGATTTTCATATCGAAAATATGACAGGTATCATCATTCATTTCATTAGAGTGAATTTGAATCACCACAAAATAAACAAGTCATCTATCACACATATTCTTGGTAGAAGTGTACGCATCATCTAAAACTAAACATGCACCAACAAAATACAGTAAAACATACGTAATATCGATGAACCTTGAAACATTTTATTTGAAAAATCTCGGGAAATGTTAATTATGAAAGTTGTTCAGCATCAAGAAATACATTTAAATTTGGAAGTCATGGCCGTCTAAGGGAAGTTTAATTTTTTCAACCCATTTTTTTAAATGGGCACTACGAAAAAACATTAATTCAACGGTTTATTTGAAAAGTCTGTAAGTAACAAATTACACAACTAGTCTGTGGAATTTTTTTAAGAGTTGCAAAGTTATTTTCATTTCTTGTTACTATCGAAAATTGCTCTAAATTCTATAGTATTCAACAAGAACTTCGATAATATCAAATAACTAAACATCAAAATGAAATAAATATTTGGACATTACATTCATTTTGTGAAGAGTTTCTTGCTTCCAAAATGATTTTTATAATTTGCTTTGGAAAAAAAGCATTAAATTGGTGGATTTATCCGTCACGTGGTAGAAGTTCATCAAGAAAAATGGAAATGAAACTTTCTATGTTTTTTACCACTTTTATTTGCAACTGATGTTATTATTACAGTTTCGTCCTATAAGGTTTATCATAATTGTTTGAAAATGTCCTTATAGGACGAAAATGCATTAACAACATTAGTTACAAATAAAAATGGTTAAAAAACAAAAAAAGTTGTATTCATCATTATTTATAAAAAATAATGTTTCCAAAAAATGTATTTCACATCTGAGCCCATCCGGCAACATGCACGGTTCGGTTCTTGACTATATTCGTATGGCTCTCACACAATTAGTAATCACAGTTTTCAAATGTTTTCTATCCCCAAATGTACGATGTTTTTGAACTCTGATCTCAATTGAAACCCATAATAAAAAATGTATTGTGGTTAAATCAGGTGAGCGCACTGGCATGGGATACTTCGTGTAACGTTCTATCCGTCTTCCATTAACTGATTCCAAATTCTGTCAATTTGTTTACACGGCATTTTATCGAGAACTGATCTGTTGACAGTAAGGTTTCCATCAATAAAGAAGAAATCAATCACGGTATTGTAGCATATGAAGGTACCATGTGCTACCACTATATGATACTAGTTTACCCTGTAGAAAATATATTTTCAATCAGAGTTTGTGACGAAGGTTTTTGTCAGGTTTAGGTCAGCTAACAGCTGACAGTTTAACAGTTTGAACGACTACTGGTCCTTGCATCCTATAGTTAAATCAGGGTTTTGTGTAGCACACCATCTACAATCCTGTGAATGTTGCTTCATCAGTCCATAGAAAACAACACGAATTTACCATGCAATATACTTATATAACATATCGATCTCAATTAATTTAGATTACTAATTGGTTAACAAGTACTTATAAGAACATGTATCCAGCAGGTACAAAGCGAGATCCTCATGCCTAGACTCGAATTTGAATAGTCCTGTATATAAAAAATATGAGAATCAAATATTTCTGAAATAATTTGAGTGAGCTGTCTTACATGGACATACTATTTGATATTTATTGAGAAAAAGAAATGTAATGTGTCAGATTTGAGTGATTTTCAAATCATTGAAATATAGTATTTTATTACTGAAATATGAATCATTATGATATATAACAACCAATAAAATCAACATAATACATAATGAATAACATCCAATAACTTATATGATGACAGCATCGAAAGCACTATTGTGACAAATTGATAATTTCCCAATCAATGTAACCTGAAACGGATCCAGGTTGGAGAAAAGGGGACTAGCATATATACTTTTGATTGACAACCGCTGATTCTAAAGTGTTATTCGAAAAATATGTTGTCAAACTGCGTTTTTTGATAAGACCTCAAAGCTAACCAAATAATTTTTTGTTAATTTTGGATAATCACGGTCTAGATATTCAAAATATCCCAAATGATTCTTCTACGAAATAACTACAACTGTGAAATGCACACCTGATTTTTGTTCTTTCATTGTATCCGGATAAATCAACTTATTTTCACCCTTCTTTTCATTTTCCTATCATATTCGTTTCATGTGAAGCTAAAAACTCAATGACGAATATCATTTTGATGGACTAGAGTTATACCCACTTGATTTTCTTATAAACAGTTACACAAAACCACATGAGTTATGGAACAACCATTCCCATGATTGGCTGTTCTCATAGAAACATGATCTGCTGAGAGCGCTTTTCCAAGAAATACTTATCTTGATTTTCGGAGCGATGCACATCATTTCAACTTATATTTGATTCATACTAATTGTAACTCTTGCTAGAGAAAGTGGTCTCTAAGTTCCGAGTATTCAACTCGGAACGGAAACTCGGTTTTTTCTTCCATATTGGAGCAATTTGTGCATTTTAAACCATGTTTTCGATAGCCACATTTTAAACTATCACATCCAGTTTCACAGCTACAGCAAATAGTTTCAAGCAATACTTCCGGAAATATCTGTTGCTGTCAGTTCGTTACCCAACCAAGTTTGAAGCTGATAATATCCCCTGTAACAATGTTGTTCTGCTGCTGCTTCTGTGATTTAATTATTGCCAATTGATATTTTTGAAATCCTAATTGATTCAGTGTTATTTTTTCATTTTCACATTTATAAATAGATTTGATTAATTGTAATTTATTTTTTTATATCTTCTCTACTTGCATCTTCCTTATAAGAAACATTGGCCAAATTTTACAAATTTTAATCGTCTAATAATGAATTTACGATTCTTTTCTTTAATTTTCCGGCAAACCCAGATGTATCGCAACCGGAAAAACAATGCAAAAATGCAACAATATTTTTGAAGGATTCATGTTTGAAACTATTAGACGTGAAAAATAGTTCCTTTACATTTCCAGAACCTGGTTTGAGGAAAAAAATGTCATGATAATTAGAAAGATCAATATCCTGACCCACAACAATGACAGTTTTAGTAGTATCTCTGGCAATTTCTATCGAGGTCTTAATAAGTCAGCATCAGCGTCTTCTTCTACTTCTTTACAAAAAAAACCCTTGTAACTGTAATCTTTTCATTAAAGTTTTTATTATTTTGTCCTTGTTTTTTTCGTTAGATAAAAAATTTTCTTGCAAAAATAGTATTTTTATATGGTTTTTATAATCAAACTCTGGAATTTTTTTACGACTTTTTACGAATTTTTTACGACTACGTTCTCCTCTTTTAATTGAAGTAACTGCTGATGATTTTGTGACAGTAACTGATTTTTTAATTTCGAGGTACCCATCAAGGACAATATAGCTGCTTGCTGCGTAATGTTATTCTACATAGCGCAAATATTTATTCATTATCTCTTCTAGCGTTTCATTTTCGATATCCTTTGAAATAGCAATAATGGATCGATGGCTATGATATCTCCGTTTACGGAAAATTGGACCGTTTTTAGAGACAAGACTCTGTTTTTCCTTTTGAATTTTACATTACCAAAATTCATTCCAACAATAGCTTGCAAAGATGCTTTTCCTTCTTCATACGTTTCGTGGCAATAACTTTATCAACTCATTTATTTGTTAATTATAGTAGTATATTTCGATTAGCAATTTTTTCGTTTATCAATGTTACATGAAATCTTACGTTTTTTTGAGTAATTAAAGTGTAAATTTCAATAAACAGCTCAAAATTGTACATAATGATTAAAAAAAAATCGAATTCGGGTTTTTTTCGATTTTTTGCATTTTCTGAGAACATTTACAATTGTAATGTATATTTTTTCACACCATCAGAAATTAAAGATTTCAAAAGCATACCGACTTTTTGAAAAAAGCTGATATTTTGACGCGAGAATTTTCGATTGAAATTAGGGTGTTTTTTTATATTAAGTCAAAATGAGGTGAAAACAGAAATATTTCGAATCAAATAAATTACAGTGTATTTGGGACACAAAAAGGTAAGTTTTCACCAAATTTTGTAGAATTTTTTTTTTTGAAAAAGATAAAAATAAAAAAACAGAAACTTGGTTAGTTGAATTTTTCAAATGAATTTTGAGTATATGTGAAAAGATTGTAAATACAAAAGTTGTTGATATTTTTATCACCTACAACTTCGCTATTTAACTTTTTTCCATAAGACTTGTATTTTTGCCGGAAATCGAGATAAATCATTTTTTACCATTAAAACCTCACTCCCTACCACTTCCCGAACTCAGACGGCTCATAATTTATTTTTTCTTTTATTTTTATCACATTCCCCTCCTTTTCTGGTGGGTTTCATCCTATTATTATTACTTGTACTTTTCACCACTTTTGAAGGCTTCATCCCTGGTCAATTAATGTTTTTTGTAACCTAATTACTTACATCGACCCCTCAGTCTTTTGTATCGATCTGGAGAAGCAAATCCGATGTGACCACCACTTTGTCTATTGAATTCCGCTTGAATACAAGCAGAAGGTGCCCTAACAAGTAATATGGCTTTAGAAAACCTATTCCTCGCAGCAGAACCCCATTCATGAGTTTTCACAACCAATACTGAGCCGTTCAGAAAACTTTCTGCAGGAAAACCATTCTTCAATAATCCATAGTCCTTGTACACAGAACCAGTCAAGAATCCTAAAGAAAATTTTATATTACACAACTTTTTATTATTTTCAAGAAAAAAATAATGACATCATCATCAGAGGATTAATTCATAAAGTATGAATCACAAGAATACTAACATCTAAATATTCAGATTATCCAGTGAAACGTGGAAATATGGTATGAAACAGTGAATATGTAAAGAAAAAAATTATTGTGAAACAATGAATGAAATGAAACAAAATAATAATGTGAATAAAAAAAATAACTATTAATAGGTAAAATAATATAATGAAAGGAAAAAATAATAGTGAGAACAACACAATAAGTTAATAACTCGATTTAAATTCCTTCAAGACGTTTCTGTTTCAATTGTTGATATCCAAAATTATCTTTGAGTGATGACTGACTCATTCTTGATGATTTGAATACGCCATTGAGCCACCGTTTTCTGTTCCTCTTTTTTCGATTTATTGAACTGCATCCCGTTGTCCACCCAACTATAGGTGTCCAAAAATGCCTAGTTCTCAGATTTCCTTCATGTCTAAAAACTGTCTGAATATCGAAATCAAATCTGTTAAAATTTTTAGGCGCCGAAAACTTAAACAATCAATGATTTTGCAATAAAATACGCTAACCATGCTGATATTTTTGTGCGAAATAGGAAACCACAAGGATCCCAATACATTTCTTTCAAACCACAACTGTTGGAATCGAGCAAGACTTTTACAAAATGGGATCAAAGGATTCTCGGAAATAAGAAGACATACTTTGAATGAAGTTTGCTGACCAATTTTCGGCAATTTTGGCAAAGATGCTCAAAAATTCACCAACAAATAAATAACACACACAACAAGAAGGAGGAAAAGGGTTGTACCTGTATTGAAACTGTGGAATCCAGCTATTCACTCAGTGATCATACCAAGGAAGAAATACTTCAAGCAAAGGGTGAGAGAACAACTAGAGTGGGCACCACCCCCGAGTAAGTAGAGATAACATCATAAATATTCCACCTGCAGACAAGAGGAATATCATTGGTTTTATGACCCAGACCTTTCGAGCAGAATATGATGAAATCATCATCAATAAATATAACACAACCACCATACCTATAAAGACTGGCAAAAATCTATACCTTCTATAAAAGTCACAACGGAGAAGGGATCTCCAAATAAATTGCTGTTCCACGAATTGGAAAATGTTGAAACCCTAATAGATCATACATTCAGTCTAGAAAGCTGGTGGAAGTCTGAATATAGAACTGGGTTGTGCCGAGGGATCTGCAAGAAGTCTATGAAGATGCTACAACCACTCACATTCTTTAAAAGTCTATAGAAGTCAATAAGAATAACTAGACCGTGAATGCGGTAGATCCTACATTTTTGGAAACCACAAAACCATAGAGAGTCCGCGTAGATGAGCTTGAAAATAACTAATAACGATTAACCAGCAAGTCGCGAATAGCGGGACATATCTGAACCTAACAACATATCATGTGATACGACACTTATATTAACCAAATTCAGTTTAAGGAATGTTGAAGCCATATAAAAACATGTTGAGTAACTAGGCTTTCAGCCTGTACAGCTTGAGATCCAATATATGAGAGAAATGTGAAACGGGCTGAAGTGCAAGAGAAAGTAATCATAGTTTTATAAGATAGATGATTAAGTTAGTCATAAGCGAAACACAATTTTGGATATCAATAACGATAACGTGGCGTCGTGAAGTAACTCAGTTCAAAATCTTTTTGCTTATTCTCATGTTTTTAGTTCATCTGTTCATTTTCTCTTAAGTTAAAATATGTTAACATCCTTAACATAATCCTCAGTTTCTAAAATGTCAGAAAACACCGTCAACCAGCGATATGATTATTTTCAACTATTCATCAATGAAAAATTTTCTTTCAACAAAACATTCGATTTGAATCATCGGAATGTATTTTGTGAATTGGGCAAGGGCGATCTTACTTGAAATTCAAAAGCCCATAAAACACTGTTGCGAACTAGTGAATGCAATCCCGATTCCGCGGGATTACGATCTCGTGAGATCCCGTGTAATTTTTCGGGATCTATTCCGAAGCATAATATGACGAGATCCCGTTCAAGATTGACGGGATTGGCTACTGCTACCCAAACTAATAATTCACTTCAAGAGGAATTAGAAGAAACTCTGCGAGCGTCTAAAAGTCCTTTTACACGTGTACCCAGATCCACAAGATTTGATAAATTAGAGTCAGGAATAAAAAAATGGATTTATTTGAGTGTGGAGGAACAAGGGGGAGAGGGCATTCTCCTCAGCTGGCTACATTGCAATGGATATTAGATGCCGGTCAGCAGATAGTACTCTTGATACACTTTGTTTTTTAAGAAGTTACTTTAAAAATCACTCGTAACTACTTTTATATCTCCTTGAGCTATACTATACCTACTTTTGTTTTGATTATACTCATGTTACTAAAACTGTTAATTATTTAGTAAGTAATATTAAAGAAAGGCTTTTGTTTTCTTTTAAATAATATTTTGTTATAATTGACCTCACTATTACAAACAAGCAGTTTTCATCCTATTCAGTAATGTGATTATTTTTTTTAACTAGACGAGATCCCGCAAATTTCCCGATTCCGCGGGATTGACATTTTCAATCCCGAGAGATCAAGACTTTACGATCTCAAGTTGGGATTGCATTCCCTAGTGCGAACTCATTAGTGCATTTTTCAGATGCGATGACGGGTACTTCGTTGGGACCACAAATTTTGCTCAGAATTTGATAATCAACTTTGAAGTAGGATGTAAATCTTCAGTGAGCATGACTTCAAGTACAGCCAAATTCATTCGTTCCTTTTTCATTCCATGAAAATAACTATAAGCCATTCTCTAGAGCAGTGGTCGCCAACCTGTCGATCGCGAGCTACCGGTAGCTCGCGGAGGCAATTCTGATAGCTCTTACAACGATTTTAATTTGGAAAATACAGACTGCAAAAATCAGAGAAGCTTCCGAAAATTCCACAAAAAAATCTAATTGTCATAATATTAAACATAAACAGCGGCAACGTTGCGGTGAGCGATCTGCCGCGGACGCCATCAAGCTAGAATCGGCTAGAACCGACCAGCCGGACCAGCGCGTTAGTGTTCGAGAAAGATCTGGATTGCTTTGAACGGGATAAATACACACGGCGCGACGACATTGCGCTTAGTTTAAAACTGAACGCGTAACCAACTTCCAGCGCAGCGGTTGGGTTAGTAGAGAACAACAAAAATAATATTATGGCAAGCAGTTGTAAGAAGGTAAAGACATACCACTTCCTTCCTTCAGTTTTCTATATCATACCCTTATTCCCTAATTTCGATTCTGGTTTTCTAATATTTTCAATATTCTAATCATTGTTTTTGTTCTTCTCATATTTTCAAAATGTATCGACACATTTCTACACAATAGAAAATGAAATATCCCAATAATAATATGAAATACAAGTGATAATAGATTTAAAATCCGCGAAATAATCACAAACCTTTATCTCATTAGAAATGCGAGTAGGTACTCTAGTCGAAATAGTAGTAATACTCTAGTCGGAAGAGAAATATATGCGGTAACTCTTCTAAAAGTTTCCGAAATCACTAATGAGCATTCTGATTAATTGCTTGCTTTTAGACCAAAAATCTCGTGGTGGATTCTTGGCGATATAATCTGCAGCTTTCAAATTTTGTAACTCATTGAGTCATATAACTAGAAATTATCCGTAAACAAATGAATGAAAAAACTGAAGATAACAAAATCCCAGCTGGTAAGCTATGGTTGTATGGAACCTGAAGTACCAAAACTTTTCGTCTGCTACTGCGGAAGTCAGTTGTTGCTGATACTTCGAAATATGACATTTGTCCTCGCATATACCACTGATGATGTCTGCCACGTTAATAGACGAAACGTTTGGTACTTCCCATTCGACCACGGCCGACCAGTCCGGATTTTGTTTTTTTTTTTCTCCTGCTCTAATAATGAATAAATAATCTCCCCAACTGTTGTTCAAACACAAAAACGAAAAAAACTACATGGAAGCTATATTTTAATGAATTTAATCAGTTGGGACCTCCATTGTTCAATATGATATAAAATGATTGGAAATTCCTGAAAGAATCATTACAATTGAAAATTAAAATGAACAGCTGAAAATAACAAGATCAATTAATCAGTCTCAATGTGGAAAGCCTTTACATCAACGTTCCTGTCGAAGAAGCACTTCAAATTAACGAGGACCTGAAATATAGAACGAACATACCTACAGAAGTAATCATGGAACTACTAGGATGCTGTGTACGAAACTGCTGTTTCCAACTGAATGACGATTCAGTTGACGACACCTTCATAATATTAGACACCTTCCTGAAGCACATCAACAGCGTGAGACCTTCCAGCACTTCCACAATGGAGAAAGAAGTCCACAATGAATTGCTAGTATTAGACGTATTGGTGAAGAGAAACGACACTAAGTGGGAAACATATGTATACCGAAAACCCACTCACACAGGACAGTATCTAAACCACGAATCCAACCACCATCAATCGACTAATAGTGGAATCATCAAGACTCCAGTAGACCCCAAAGTGATGGTGGAACAGGCTCTGGCTAAAAAACAGCAAGAGCCTCGCAAGAAAGAGAAGCCGTCACAACCAGTGCTTGCACCTCGGAGGATTGTCAAAAAGGATAAGAAGAACCTGGTCCAAATACAACATCAGAACCTGCTTCAGATCCGGAAACACTATCCGTAGTAGCCTCACAAAAACCAGGCCACCAAACGTGGACTGCGACTCCAAGAATTGCATTTACCTTGTGAAGGCGACAAAGCCAATATCGGTGAAACTAAGAGGCCATTGGAAGTTCGTATTGCCAAGCACAAGAAACACCCAGAGCGAAGAGAAACCAGCAAATCGGGAACAGCAGAGCATGTTTGGACTCGTCAACATTACATCAAGTGGTCATAAGCTGAGATCATCCACAGGGAGTAATAATGGTTTAAGAGGTAATTAGAGGCAGATTATTCAATACCTATTCTCCTAGAGTTATTAATTCATCAAATGTTGATCTTTTGATTATTATTTAGTTCATATGTCATTGGAACCTTTTCGTTGCGGGCTGTTTTTTTTCTACGGAAGTTTCCTATCTACTTATTCGAACATACTCTTAATAGTCGTAGGTAGTTGTAGTTGTAAAAAAGTGAGCGCAAAACTATAAAATATAGATAAAAGTAAAATCATCAGGTTTTCGTTTGTTTTTAGTGGGTCTTAGTTGCTACAATTGTCACTTTCTTAACTGAATCTTCATTTGTAACTAAAGTGGTTAAAATTCAGAGCTGTTTTATATATAATTCGTTATCGTAAAATAGCATCATATGTTGATAGTAAGTGAAAAAATAAAAACAAATACTTCGCTGAAAAACTGGAATAATAAACTTACCTGTAGCTTGCTGTAGTAAATATCTAAGCCAAGTGTTTCCGCTCCCAGGAAAAGAAGCGAGAGCAATCGTTTCCTTCGGTGGATCAAGAAGTTTCAAGTCTGAACACCAAATTATTTTAGATTTGCGTAAGGGTGGCCTAAATCCTGGAAGACCGTATTCAAAACTTTTAGATTTTGATAGTTGTTTGTGTTTCAGATCCAAACTATCCTGAAAAGACAACAATATTTTTTTCAGTACCTTCTTACGAAAAAATCTATCACGATTAATGTATTTAGTTATCATCACGATCATAAGTGATAACAAATATTACCGAAGATGTACGTTCATTACAATCACTAGAAATAGCACACAGTGCGGTTGTTAACATTCCCCCCTGCTATGTTTTGGAGGGAGCAATATATTAAAGTTTGACAAAATATGAGAAGGAATCATGTGAAAATATTTGAAACAGAAAGTAAGGTCTTGTGACCTTTCGCTCGAAAGGTATTTCAATTCTCTATATACCGACCTTTACTGTACACTGCAAGATAAGAAATTGGTTGAAAAATTTCATACAACTGATAGTGTAACTGGAGCTAGACGAGCAGGAAAAAATATATCTCGGACGAGAAATGTAGTAATCGTTGCGTCTGTAGTGATAAAACCTTTTGCAGTACAAGACAACAGTTGCTCGTATGAATAATATATCAACAACCACTAGGAAATATCTCAGAAGACATAAGTTTCGCCCTTATGAACTGACGATATAACAAAAATTAAATGAAGATGACTCTTACAGAAGAATGCAGTTCTGTTAGTTAATGTCCGAATATTTGATTACAAATCGAAACTGAGTATAAAGTATTCGTTTCATTGCTAAATGCACTTGTTTCTTGAACGGAAATGTCAACCGTAAAAATGTGCGATATTGGTCAGACATAAACCCACATATTTCAAGTGTAGGTCACACCTCAACTACTGAGAAAATAAATGTCTGGGCAGGAATATTGGGAAATCATATTGTTGACCCTTATATGATAAAAAATGAGAATGATAATAATAATATCAATAAGCAGGGATGGCAATAACATCTGAGGCTTTGGTGAGTTGCACCACGACTCACCCGAGCAAGTGGTGCAAAACCGGACCGGCAGCCCAGACGCACCAGAGAGGGACAACACTATTCTTCCTCCAGTGCCGGCCGTGGTCTACAGGGCTAACTATCCGATAGATTCAAGACTTGGTTCCTGGTAGTCGATAAAGGAGCCGATCGACCCGCTCGGAGCATGTTGCCTTTTCCGCCCGAATCCTCAGGGATTACGTATCTTATCTTCGGTGGCAGGGCTACATAGCTACTTTCCAGCCTACTAACCATGTGGTGGAAGTGACAGTTCTACCACCCATTGACAGGGCTTGGGAAGAGGCTTGCAGCATGCCACTAACAGAGATAATCAGAACACGCAGGGCGCTTCACAGAATTAAGTCTCTGAAGTCACATGAACTGGCTTGTTTGGATGAGAAGGTCACGTCACGTGGGCGAGACAGCAAGCGTCTCATATCCAATTTGTGATGGTTTACAGGGTGGTCAACGGTCCTTTGACGCCCGCAGTACGGCAAATAGCCACCAAACTACGGCGTATCCATCACAGTTTGAGAAACGGCATGCTGCTGAAAACCAAACAGCACTGCCTTGATAGGAATGCTAGTGGCTGCTAAAAAGTCACTAGTGAGGCGAGCGAGAAGTATCGCGGAAAACCTCTCAGATCCCGCAAGAAACCTTCTCGCTCATTCCAAGAGCCTCCGCGTGTTGTGGATGATCCGCCTGCCGCTGATCAGGTGGAATACTTCTGAAAGGACATCTATGAACACCCGCAGCCACTCAACTCAGATAATTCTGCCCTAGTGCAATTCGAAGCTTTCAGCAGAGAGCTTCGACAGCCTGAGCTCAATGAACTGCGCTTTCCGATAACCACGGATGACGTTCGAAGAGCCTTTGTGGGTTCCAAGAACTTTGCTATTCAGAGCTTATCTGTGCTTCAGGCAGGCGGTGTTTTCGCGTTCTTTGTTGAATATCCCTATTTTAATTGCTCGTTAGCGGCGTCCTGAAGGGATATAGAGGGTAGACATATCTCAATGATTTTGTGGGTGAATTGCAGTGCTATTTGCTTGAGACAACTATGTTGCTTCCTTTGATGTAGCGACATGTTTGCATTCTTGAAATTCTTTTACTCTCAGACAATACTGAACGAACTATAAATCATGCTATCAAGAGTGTTAATTAAGATGGCAATTCTCTGCATAAGGCAGCCGAACCTTGTGTTGGGAAAAAGCGGAATTTTCTACGGATAATATGGCAATAAAAAATTAAGTTACACTAACAAAGCAACATTTTTAGGCATCACAATTGATGATTGTTTCAACTGGTAATCTCACTGTAATAATCTGATTAGAAAGTTAAATTCTCTTTATTATGTGTTTCGACAGTTTAGAGAAGTACTCACATGTGAACAATTACTCATGTTATATCATGCTCATGTGTCTTCAAGAATACGATATAATGATAATAATAATATATATTCCATTTTATAAGTACAAGGTGACAGAAAACTCTGCTTGTTACCTGGGACCAAAACTCTTTAATAATCTTCCACAAGAGATTAGGGAAACAGGGTGCCTGAGAAAATTTAAATTTCTATTGAAAAGATTTTTAATCAACAAAAATCCCTATACGATACAGTCTATATTATGGAAAGAACGAAGAATTATCTTGACAAAAAAATAAAACAAGTGGTGTAGAAAGAACTATAGAGAAAGCAAATCAATGAGCTAAAAACTTTCTTAAATCAGATAAATATTTCGATTATGATAACATCTGCGATGAAAATAGTAGTGACTACGTTGATGTGTTTATAATTTAATATAAGAACATAGAATTTGACAACCTTAGTCACGATTCAAGAGAACAAAATCCAGTCTAGTAGTCCGTGGTGGAATGGAACCAAATACCAAACGTTTCGTCTGATACTGCGGCAAACAACTGATACCAAGTCCACAAAGAAGGCACGCGGACGCCATTCTTGGGGACGAAACTCAGTTTGTGTTGTGAATGTCTGCCGTCATAGAACGTGCCATCATCAAATTAAACGTTTTTGTGGACAGTCTATAAGTGTTGTAGAGAAACAGCACTCCCATTCACGCCGGTTGGAGGCCGGGGTGGGCCGGATGTCCACGTGGAGACAGGATTTTACCAAATAAATGTATTAATTATGTGTAAAAAGTCTTGAAGTCTCCAAAAAATATTAAGTGTTTTTTATATAATACAAAATTTAGATTAAAAAGGGGTGGCAGCATTGCTGCGTGGAAGACAGCTGCGCCCCCCCGAATCGAGCTGGCTAAATGCGCCTATCTGGAAGCAAAGGCCAAGAATTTTGAGTGAAGTGAAGTGAAACAACTGACAGTCATCGACTGTCAGTCACAGTTATCTGTTACCTAAATTAACAGACGAAACGTTTGTTACTTCAGTTTCCATTCCATCATGGCCTACCGGCTCAAAATTTGTTCTCTTTAATCATGTTCATAAGTTATTGTTAATCAGGAAAATCAGTTGAGATCCTATGATCAGGGAGGCAGATGATCATTTTTCAAGAAGTCATTTTGCAACAAAATATATGCGATGTTTGTATGAGCAAATAATTGTTCCTTAGTAATAAATTCAACTTTGTTTCTGCATATTTATAAAATCCGTGTTTCAATATTTTATAGGTAAATAGTCTTCTATGCTGGCTATCATTCCACATACACTGGTTCTTATTACCCCGTACCAATAAGCAATGGGAAGTAATACCTACTACTTTTTCAAAAAATGAGTATAATTTCTTTGTTTAATTTTGATTTTAGTTTTTTCGTTGACTATTCAAATTCTTAATCAATCAGACTATGTCAAAAATTATATAAACATGTTATTATTACAAATAGTTGATGAAGTGGCGGCAATTTCCCCATTCTCCCCTACACTTAAAAATTGGAAATTGAATTGTTGGTACTTAAGTTATCATATCGTAGTTTAGTCAGTACTCACCCTGTATCCAATACTTTTCGTGTCGTGCAATGAAATAATAGACAATATCAGTATACCAAATAGATATGCAAAGAGTAACAGCATAACACCCCAAAATCTGAATCTGGTGAAAAGCATTTGGCCATGCCTTCCTTCTTATTCAATTAAAATGAATTTTTGTCAGGTAGATGAGTATTATATAGGAACAGTAGTCGTTAAATAGTTCAAATATCATTAGGCTTTCCATTCAGTTCATTTTTTCATTTTTCTAAAACACCAAATTTGCAGTCGTTTCTGACCAAGGAAGATTATTGCCATTTTCAGTCCTGGAAAATAAGGGAGTCCATGTATTGTTTGAAGAAAAAAAACATTTTACTGCATTATGAAAAAGGTTAAACTAACAAAAACCTTATTTGGAATTGTGAAGTAACAGAAAAATTATTATTCGAGGGCGGTAGCGACTACCCCATCTCCAAGCTTCGATATGGACAGCCGAATAATAAAAAGCGCGCGCTCTACCTCCTCTCTCTCTCTCCTTCTCTCTCGCTCTCTATCTCGCTCCCTCTCGTGCTCTCTCCCTCTCTATCTCGTTCTCTCTTTCGCTATCTTTCTTCCTCTCGCTCTCTCTTTTGCTTTCTCTCTGTCTCTCTCTCTCTCTCTCAATCTCTGCATCAAGTAAAAAAGTGAATGGTGCTTGGTCTCATCAATGGTACTAGTCCAGATTATTCGTTGCAACATTTCAAGGCATAAATCATATTAGAGTTTGTTTTCATTATAATAGACGAAAGTGGTAGCGCTATGAATGTTAAAGAGGGACAACCATGGTCTAACAATGTCGAATTAATTTTAAATTGGCCGTGAGACTAATGCTGGATTTTTTCTTTGCGAGCTCACGTTTACAACGAAAGACCCTAAAGCTATGCATCCGCGTAATTTATTGAGGAATATAGGCAGGATAAAAATGGAGAATAAGGGGATTCAATAGACGCTATCAGTTCATGAAAGTGTCGACTCAGGTTTTCAGTGAAATGCCGAACATTGTGGTGTTTGAAAGTGTTATACACATAAGAAATGAAATTATTTTATACAACGAACTAAGAGTAACATTGCAGAAAATGGTAAAAGAATATGGAATACAAACGGACCTGCATTGTTCATAAGTGGTTGACAATGTTTCTTGGTAAATGTTATAGGTTCAAAGTATCAGGAATAGGACAGTTACCACCCGAAAAAGATCTTGGATACCAACAATCGAAACGTCGGGAACTATTTCGATTTGAATTTCTTCTTCTTATTTTCTCAATTTTTACATTTTTCATCAGTTCACTATGAATTTTTATTGTTCCTATGTTATTAAAATTTCACTTATTGTTTAACCCGTTTACCTATTGATTACTTTCCAATTTCAAGTCACAATAATTTGTTTTGTTCCCAATGCATGCCTGGATATCTAAAATGGACCTACGAAAGATAAATACAGAATTTGGAAAGTCGGTCTTTCCAAAAATTGTGAAAGATACCTTCGAATGGAATAATGCAAAATGTAGAGCGAAATAAATGAAGGAAATAATCGCAATGTCAAAGAATTTTATTGAAAAAACTTACTATTCTACAAGAGCCATCGAAATCGAAAAATAATCCAAGTATTGTTGTTTATCAGAAAGACAATTTTATCGAGCATAACATTTAACAAAAAAACCGCATGCACGTATTTTGGGATACTTAATGTTCATCAATATGTATACAAAGGACCAATAGTATATTGTTTTCATTTTATGTTCCATATTTCATTTCAACACACACAGTTTTTCTTGCATGAAGCAGCTGGTATGAATATAAACGAGAAATTGCAAAAAATCTTTGAAATATCATGTAGCTTTGTGAAATTATTTTTCGAATATTACACGTTACTGATGGCTGAATTTCCTCCAAAAATAGGTAGGTATTATATAATAGAGGTTTTCAAAACAAGCTTAGTGAATACTCCTAATTTATACAACATTCAACTTTCCCCAGAAAAAGAAACATTATACAATTGGCAATTATAAACCTACAGATGGGCAAATATAACGAATACGTCCAAATCTCCTTACCTCTGTATTTCAGATTTAGGTACCTCAAATCTCCTTCACACTTCAAATTTTATTCAGAAGTGAAATCTTTAGTAGATACCTTCATTTTTTAAGTGCCTACGTACACATTTTCATTCTATTTCACCTCGTTTTAATGCTTGTGTCATAACACATTGCATTTGCACCTAGATAGCTGCATGACAAAATTTGTCTATTTTCAGGGCGTCGACTACTCCAGTTTTAAGCGTCCACGGCGTCGAACAGTGAATGTCAAAAGTTTTTTCGTAGGAACGATTTCTCAAAACCAAAACTTCGTAAATGAGACACTGAGTGATTGACATTTCATCAGAAAATGTATTCCTATTGATTTTGGAGTTTTGAGAGTACATTATTTATTTTGTATATTTTATAATTTCATAAATGGATAAGTGCCTTTACTTTATGGACATAGTAGTGGCATCTACTGGTGAGCGGTTCATTCAGAATACGATCGACTGAAGCAATAAATACAAAGCCGATAGAAGCTCATACGTGGCATTTTCGTGTCACCTGAAATTTTCAGTACCTTAGCCTGACCACCAGATGGCAATGGCAGTACGATCATAGATAGTATACTATGGTTATTGTCTAAATATTTAAATCCTTAGACCATGCTATGGTACGATGTCAGTATTTAAAGTGATTACCAACAGAACTGGGTAGGAGTCTCTGACAAACCAGTTAATTTTTTAATTTAATTTTGGCGTACATCCCGACTTTGATATGACCCGACCGATTGGTTGTCAGCGACTGCTAGCTTCCCAATTTTGTTAATACTCACATTAAATATTGTCATCGTATTGCCATCTCCCTCTGATGGTCAGATTAAGTACTAAAAATTTTAGGTGACACGAAAATGCCACTTCTAAGCTTCTATGAGCTTTTTTGCTACGTTTCGGATATCGTTTTAATGATCTTTGATTCCTATTCTGAATACTACATTTCATTCTCTCTCCATTGACGGAATCTTTAGAATGAAGTGGTGGAGGATCCCGTAATCAAAGATTATTTGTTAATATGCTTGTCAAAATTGTTAGTAATGGCAATATTCTTGACGCTTTTTTTGGTATAAGTGATTCTGGTTATTCCACTGTTTTATAACCTTCGTATATAACCTTCTATATACAAAAGTCTAACCTATGTATATAGACTAACCCTATATACAAAGGTCAAACTGTTGATAGTCTGTCAACCTTTCGGCCAAGTAATCAGATGGCGATGGGATGCATCCATAGATGGCGTTAGTGTTGTTGAAACCCAAGTAATGGAGTAGAATATAAGAATTCGTTGTGGGAATAAGGGAAGGTGAGTTTTAAAAAAATGTTAACAGTTGGAACATTGTTACGTAAGCCGTAGTAACGCAATGTTACCAACCGTACTATATTTATGGTACAAGTACTTGGTATACCATCGTAAAGTGCAATGGTACACCTATTATACCATAAATCTGTGGTGATCCATTTTTTTAATAAATTACAACGATATGTTGGCTAAAATTACAGACTTGAATAGAACTGGCCGATATTTGATGAAAATCCATATTAAAACTAATTAATACAGTTTATTGTATGATTTTCACTATAAAAGGTTTTTAAAAAACCGCGACACAATCGCTTTCTGAAGCGTAAACCAAAAGTTACTTCTAAATTACAACTATTTTATACTCTAACTCTAACATATTACCTACTTGTATGCCTACTTTCTGATGAATGAATCTACCAGAAAAGGTAGGTATGAATTCATTAGCTATACCGTAAATATGTTTAACTTTTTTACCTAAAAATAAACAGATTAAATAATGGCGAATATTCAGTTCAGTTTGATCATTCATAATATATTGAGAGTTTTTGAAATTGTTTCTTTAAATGGAGGGGCTTGAATTCATGGTTTAACTCATGTCCCTCTGTGATTAAATGAGTAGCATTTGTGGAATTTATCTTTCCATTCTGGAAACTATTTATGTGTTCTTTTATGCGGACTTTGAACGTTCTTTCAGTTTGACCTATATAAAACATCCGATATGACCCACATGATAATTTATACACTCCCGATTTTTCTGAGACTGAACTGTTATCTTTGTTATTCTTGATGTGCATGCTCAAGTTGTTGGTTTTGAAAACAATATTTACACCTTTGTTGTGCAGAAAAGCAGAAATATTTGTAGTGGGTTGGCCTACGTAGGCTAAGTTTCTATAACTGTTATTCTCATCTTTTCGAATTGGGTAAACTTCCTTCAAAGCTTGGCTGCATAACATTTTTGATAATGAGGAATGTATTAGACTGCTATCGTAATCATTGCTGACGGCTATTTGTTTTATTATGTTCAATTCTTTATTGAAATTCGCCTCTGACAAAAGAACAATATCAGTATGTGGATCATACTGTTGAATACTGATACTTTGTGCTTATACGGGTGGGTGGACGAATTATGAATGATTATATGTTTGTTGTTAACTTTCGTTATTGTCAAGTCAAAAAAAAAATTATAGAGTCGTCTTTTTCCATCTCCATGGTGAATGTGGTTCACAATTTCTCTGATGTGTCCACTGAGAACTTTGTTTTTCATTTCACCCACTTACTATACTAACATTATGTTCCCAAACGAGTTTCCCGATGTTAATGAACTCTCGCCCTCTTCACCGGCTGATCTACTGCGCATCGTATATTCAGAGACACAACTTTATTTTATTGGCTACCATTAGACTCATTGCATGCCGTCTAAACAATCTATGGAGATTTATAAACCATCTATCGAAAATTTCGTGATTGTGTCATCTGTCTGATAAGTTCTATGAATGAAAAATTATGTTTGAGTCTCAAACAAAATTTAAAACTTGATAATGATAATCTCTACCAAACCTGCTTGTAAGAGATCGTCGAAACCCTTTATGATTACGTTCTTTGGAATTAAGTCTGGCTTGTTTATTAAATTCATGAATAATATCTTTGAACATTAGTTTGAAAGTTCATGGTAGGACGTTCAAAAAAAATCAGTAATATAGTAGAAATTTATCAATACATGTACACTCTACTATATTTATCACAGAACAATAATAACATCAATGAGTTAATATTGTCTAACCTCTAGACAAGCCAGAATTTTGCTTCTGTATGTTTGGCTTGACCCTCACCTTCTCAAAAATTATGGAAGTTTTGGTGATGGGGTGATTTGCCTCAGAAGACCCTTTATGTTCTTCCATATTATAACAAAGTTA